ACTTGTGTGACCCTAGGCAAGTCACTTAACCCCAATTGCCTAAGGAAAAAAAAAGCACTAGAATTAACAATGATAAAGAAAACCAAAGAGAATCAGTTATAAACTCTTCTATCTATTACAGAACTACAAAAAGATGGTCAGAATCCTACAGAAGCCCTAAGCAGGCATGAGCCAAGGCAGGTGGAAGGGAAAGGTCAAAAGCAGCCTTGTGAGCAAGAGACAGGGCCAATTTGACCTAACATCCAGGCAGGTCTATCCTAAGCTAGCATCCAGGCAACCCTATCGCAACCCAACACCCAGGCATCCTGGGCCTGAACCACAGGAGAAAGTGACATGGCCAGACAATTCCTGAAAAATTCTAGCCTCATCTTACCCAGGTTCAGAATCAAATGGGGCCTATCCATACCATATAGGAATAGGGGAGCACAGTTTGTCCTAAGCTTAACCAACAATTGAACTCTCTAAATGTGAGAATGACCCAAGTAGAAAAAGACTCAGTGAGACAATAAGAAATATCAAGACAGAAGAAAATATAAGACAACTGAACAAGAAAAGATAACCTAAGAATCATTGAACTATCTGAAAAATTATAGCCAAAATTAAAAAACAAATTTAGGTACTATATTTCTAGAAACACATATGAAAACTCCAGGTCTCTTAAAACCTTATGGCAAATCAACTAGGGAATGGCTAAACAAATCAAGGTATATGGACAAAATAAGACATAATAACATTACTGTGCAATAAGCAATGAAGAAAGAGATCTGCTCAGAGAAAGATGGAAAGACTTGTGTAAACTGATGAAGAATGAAGGGAGCAGAACCAGGGGAACAATTTATACAATGAAAACAACATTGTAATGACAAACAGCTCAAAGGACTTTAGATCTCTCATCAATGCACTAACCAATCATGTTTCCAGAGAAATGATGGATCTATGTTACTCATTACCTGACAGTCATGATAGATTCAAGATTTAGAATGAGCCATTATGTTTTTGGACACAGACAATGTGAAAATTTGTTACAAGGCTGTATATTTGTTACAAGAGTCTGTTTTTATTTCTTTGTTTTACATTTAAATTGGAAGAAAGGTGGTAGGGAAACAAAATAAATGAGTGTTAATAAAAAAAAAATTTAAAAAAAAAGGAAAGAACCAGAAGGCAATGTGAAAATACAAAGTATCCTCCAATTACCTTATAATAGAAATTTCAAAATGAAAACTCCCTGGAGCCCCATAGCCAAAATTCAGAGCTTCCATGTCAAAGAAAAAAATACTGCAAGCAGTACCCCTGTCCCCACCCCACCCCCCAAAAAAGAGTTTGAATACCAAGGAGCCATAGTCAGGATCACAGAACTGCTCCTATAATGTAGGGGAGAGCTTAGAAAAAAATATTCTAAAAAACAAAAGAAACAGACAACCAAGAATAACCTATCAGACAAGACAGGATAAACCTATAGTGGAAAAATTAACCTTTAATGAAATAGATTTCCAAGCTTCCCTAATGAAAGGTTCAAAACTAGGTAGGCACTTTGAAATGGAAATACAGGAACCAACAGAAACACAGAAAGCTACACATATATGATTAACTGAAAAGGATAATGGGAAGATAGATTGTTTACTTGCTAACAGATGAAAAAGAAGTATCATCTCTGAACTCTAATGTCTTCAAAAGTCATAGACATGAATTGGAAACTGAGGGGATCCCCCATCTGTTGGGAAATGGCTGAACAAGCTGCAGTATAAGAATGTAATGGAATACTATTGTGCTATAAGAAATGATAAGCAGGCGGACTTCAGAAAAACCTGGAAAGACGTATAGAAACTAATGCCGAGTGAAGTGAGCAGAACCAGGAAAACATTTTACACAGTAACAGCCACATTGTGCGATGACTAACTTTGATACTTATCTCTTCTTAGCAATGCAAAGATCTAAGCCAACTCCAAAAGACTCATGATGGAAAACGCTGTCCACACCCAGAAAAAGAACTATGGAGTCTGAATGTAGATCAAAGTATATTATTTACACTCTCTCCTTTTTCTTTTTTTGTTTGTTTCTTCTTTCTCATGGTTTCTCTCATTAGTTCTAATTCTTCTTTACAACATGACTAATGTGAAAATAGGTTTAATATGAATGTACATGTAGGGCTTGTATCAAATTACACACTGTCTTGGGGTGGGGGGAGGGGAGACATGAAGAAGAAAATTTGAAACTCAAAAAACTAAAAATAATTTTTTTTTAAAAAAAGTCACAGACAAAGTTAAATAAGACAGGCAGAAGGTCTGGGGGTTGTTTTATTCTGTTCTGGTTTGATGCATTTTTGTTTGTTTGTTTTTGTCTTAGAAAAAGGATCCTGACAGGCTATACTTGGGAGGAATAAAAGAAGAAGGATTTCACTATCTCCTATATTAGGAGTGCATGGTATGAAGAAAATACAAACCTAGAGAAAGGGTGGAGGTAATAAACATCTTTTACTTTGATCTGAACTGGACAAAGAAAAAGTTGAGCAAATACATTCCCACTCCCTCTTTGTATTTCTCTGTCACCATCTCTATTCTCTGTCTCTGTCTCTCTCTCACACACACACAATGTGTGCAAAAATGCATTAAATTCAAGAATAAAATAAGCAAGGAGTGGCCACAGGGAAAGAGAGTATTAAAAGGAAGTACTAGGTGGGGAATTTAGTCATAGTCAAAAGAAATTCCAATACTGGAGGGGTGGGAGTGGAGTGTGGGGACATAAAGGCAGATTAAAAGGAAAGAAAAAAAGAGTAAAAATCTGTGATGGGAATAGGGGGAAAATAAGGTAGCATCTTTTATTAACAGATAGCATCATTTATAGATCGCAAATATCAGGCAAATTCCTCTTTCACTACCTTCCTCTTTGTAAAGAGATGATGGGTTACAAAAACAAAAAAGTTTAAGACCACAGGATTGAAAGGAAATACTCAACTATAAATATGAATAGGAATAAGATAACAAAATTGATGCGAAAGCAATGTCCTACAATATGCCATTTACAAGAAATATGCTTGAAACATAGAGATTAACGATACAGTTAAAATGAGGAGCTGGAGCAGAATTCTTTATGCTTCCGATAAATTTTTTTAAAAGCACTAGAAGTAATCATGATTTCAGATAAGAATATAGTAAAAAACAGACATGACTAAAAGAGATATGCAGGGAAACTACATTATGTTTAAAAGTACCGCTGAAAACAAATAGAAGAGGGGCAGCTAGGTGGCCCAATAGCCTCATCAAAAAAAAAAAAAAAACAGAAGAGCATAGCATCTAAATACTTAAAGAAAGGTTAATCTAATTAGGAAGAAATAAGTCCATACAAGTAAGGGGACTTCAGTATACCCCTGTCAGACCTAGACAATCTAACACAAAGATAAACAAAAAAGAAACTAAAGACCAGAATACCTGAATAGCACTTTAGAACAATCAGAGATTACAGATCTCTTGCAATTACCAAATAGACAGAAAAAGTACTCTACATATTTCTCAGTCATTCAATGCACCTTTATAAAAATTAATCATGTACTGAGACATAAAGTATCCCAAAGAAATACTAAACAAATCCTTTTCAGACCAAAAGGTAATAAAAACATTCAATAAAGGGCCTTTGAAGAAAGAATTAAAAATTAATTGGAGACTAAATTACATAATCTCAAAGAATTGGTCAGTCAAAAAAAAATCATCAAAGAAAATGACAAGTAAAGAACACACCAAAATTTATGGGATACAATTAAAGTAGTCCAAATGGGAAAATTTATATCTCTAATCATTTTCATTAATAAAAGAACAAATCAGTAAACTGAGTATACAACTAAAAAACTTAGAAAAGAAACTAATCAAAAACCCCCAAATAAATCTTGAAGAAGCAATTCTGAACATCAAAGAAGAGATTAACAAAATGGAAAGCAAAAAAAAAAATCCAATCAGTTACATTTAAAATATCACATTTTAAGAATGTAATTAAAAAGAAAGTGAAGAGAGTTCACCCCATCACTGGGAATAATTGAATGATGAGTCATCAAATAGAATTAGGGCAAGTATGTGATCCCGGTAATCACAAATCTAGCTTAAGCTAGAATAGTCAGGACTGTCTCTGCTCTGTGAAGGAGATAAAAGTGGTAGGTACACCTCAAAAAAGATACAGGAACTCAGAGAACAGCCTAAAGGGTAAAATGAGTTTTGAAAGAGGAAGAACTAGAAAATAAGATTCTGGATGCATCTTATAATAAACGTGATGTTAAGAAGTTTTAAGTAAAAGAAACATCTGCCACTGAGACCACACGACTCCTAGAAATATTAGGCCAAGATGCCCTGAAGTCCAAGGTAAGAATCTTTGCAGGTTAGTCTAATTAACCAGAATGTGCCATCCTCATTCACGGATCTGGAAATGCAGGAAACAAGGCTAGTCTGGAGAGTTCACAACAGCCCAAGAGGTAAGCCCACTGGATCTCTTCCCCATTGCCCATTGTAGGGCAATGAAAACTATGGTACCGATTCTTTTCTAGAACAGGAATGAACACCCCACCATTCATATCACTGAGTCATCTCTCTAACACAAGTCAAAGCTCTTGCATGTAACTCCCCATATCCTTTAATACCTGCCAGGAATGATTAAAATAAAGGATTTATTTGGTGAGTAGCCTATCAACCAGAAATTGCCATTAACTTTGCACATGTACAATACAATAATAATTGAACTCCATCATGAACATGATGTGGCATCACACAATCCTGAGGTAATTTCTGGATCATTATAGAAAGATAAGATTTTGTTCACAGTAAGTTTGGTATTATGTATGCGTATATAACACATTATATTTATATAACAAACAAAATAACATAACAAATAATAGTATACTATAGCAAAGTATAGTATTTTAACATACCAGTACCTGTATATAACATATATAGTAGGTTGCAATTAATCAAATATTTATTTTGTCAGAATACCTATACTAGGAAATATAGGTTTAACTGTACCTGGTAATCCAGCATGCTGAAGTTTGGAAAAAACTGAAGAATTCGAGATTCAAAAAAATAGGGGAAAATCCAAAATAATGGTAGTTCCTTGCTATTATTATCTAAGAGCAACAAGAAAAAAAACAACTGGACTTTAAAGAGCAAAACAGTCAGTCAAATCAATTAAATAAAAACATTTATTGATCATCTACTATATGACAGGCACAGTGCTGAGTTCTGTTCATTGTGCTAAATCCTAGACAGAAGATATGAAAACAGCTAGATGTTCCATGGCTTTTATCCACAGGATCTAACGTGTCAACTTGTAGAAGACACTTGAGGGATGAAGTGGATCAATCAACCAGTAGTCACACAGATTCTTAATAAGAACAAAACAGTCCCATATAAACAGACTATGTTGTCATTTACTGACCTGGGAATTTTGGCCTATGCCCAAATACAGTTGCAAAGAATGAATGAATAGGATCTTGGTATACTAGAGTTGTTTTTTAAGAAAACACAACAAATATTTTAAAAGGAAAATCACTTGAGATGCTTAGTCACATTATGAAAAGTATGGTATATGGAAAATATGATCAGTCACTGAAGAAAATTTAAATCACTGTTCAAAAAGATGATTTGATCAATTTTTACAAGTATAGATAGGTTTGATATCACCCTAATGCATATTCTTCACAATTCAAAAATTTACATCTAATTTTTGGGAAATAAATATTTGAAAGAAGTGATTAAAAATTTTTTTTTGTAGATTGTTGCTCCATCATGAAAACTGATATGAATTTATGTATTTGTTAGTTATTAATGCAAGAGATTCATGTGAAGGCAATGAAAGGTAAACTTTCTTCCAATAAAAATGTTTTTCTTTCAAATATGCACCATCTTTTGATTAAGACTATATCAAATGAACAACAACCAATACCAAAAAGATGTTTAAATTAACTTATATACATTATTATGGATATTTTTCTTGAACAACATATACAATTATTTAACAACACAAGTCTACATTTTAAAAGCAACTACTTTACTTAACGCTAATTTTAAAACAAAAAAACAGATTCTCAGCCAACAAGATTCAAAAAACATTTTGTGCAGGATTTCAAAGTATTTCACAAATACACTCTAATTGGTTCTCATATACACACTTTTAAGTCAATATCCTTCATGAAAACCTTACTTCAATCCCTCATCATGGTATGGATATAATCCTGAGTTCTTGAAGAATATGACTTTCAAACAAATTCTGGAAGGTTCTATCAGGTCAGAAAAGCTTTAAGTATAGTCAGCAGAAGATGATATATCTCCTGCCTGAGACCAGCCTAACTGAAGACATGCTCATCATAGTGAAGTTGGCAGTTTAGTGATGCATTCTTTATCCATGACCCATTAAATAGATAAAAATTAAAAAAGCATCTCAGTCCTATGCACCTAATGTTAGAATGGTACAAACGGGGCAGAGGAAACTAAGGATGATACAGCACTTACACAATCTACAAACAAAAATTAACAATTCATGCTGTAAAAGTGACATCTTTGTCAATTGACTAGTTAATATTTTACTGAAGCAAACAAACCACAGAAATACTGATGTTCTTACTATAAATAAAACCAAAGGACATAAATGAAGCTGCAGCTACATAGAGGAATGCCACCTCTTTTCCAAGTAACTTTAATTCTGAAGGTGGAACCACCATCCTTTCATTCACAGATTTGCAGCCTCAAAGTTATCCTCCCCTGTTCATTCTCTGATCAGTAGTCAAGTCCTGCGGATTTTACTTCACAGGTAAGGAAGAGAGGAGAGACAAAACATCAATATTTTCAACTTCAGAGCCAAGGTGAACTGGTGGTACCATTGATAAAAATAGTAAAGTTTAAAAGAAGTAAAGATGGGGAGAATTATAATGAGCTAAACTAAAGTCATGTAGAATTTGAAATGTTAGTTGAAGATTTAGGAGGATAGATAATATATCCTAGAGTCAATTGAAACTGTGGGTCTGTCTGGAATGTGGGAAAGAAGTCAGGACTAGAGATATGGAATCGTGAGTCATTTGCACTGAGGTAACAGATGAAGTTTGGGGGAAAAACAGTTGTCAAAGGAGAAGATGCAGAGAAAGAAAATCTTGAGGACAGAGGATAGGTACCCTGTGAAAGAGATAAGCAATTGAGAGAAGTAGGAAAGAATTCAGGAGAGGTTTCTCTAAAGCAAAGGGTATCCAGTAGGAAGTGATCAAAAAGATCAACTGCGTAGAGAGGCTAAGAAGGATGTGGAATGGAAAAAAGGCCTTCAGATTTGGTGATCAAGAGGTCTCCGATGACTTTTGAAAGAACAGTTTAAGTTCAGTGCTGGTGATAAAAGCCAAATTGCAAGGAACTAAAGAGAGAATGAATGGAGTCAAAGGTATCTGAGAAACAGAGAAGGAACATTTGTGAAAGCATATGCCTGCCACATCAAGGTCCTAGAGGTGCTAGGAAGGGACATGATGAACAAAGGCACAGTTTAAGTAGCCTCTGGGAATCTACTGAGAATAGATGTACATGTACAATATCCAACCAGTAAATTACTTCTTTGCCTGGCTATCTACAGGTCTCTTAATCATTTGACAGCTATGTTAAGGCTCCTAATGTAACTCCCCTCCACTGAAAAAAATTCCACAAGCTTTTTTTTTTTTAAAGGCAATTGGGGTTAAGTGACTTGCCCAAGGTCAAACAGCTATTAAGTGTCAAGTGTTTGGTCTGAGGCTGGATTTGAACTCAGGTCCTCCTGATTTCAGGGCCGGTGCTCCTTCTACTGCACCACCTAGCTGCCCCTCACAAGCTATTTTTAAATAAGATCAGGATAACACTTTTTTTCAGTGATTATGGATCTCATCCAGGCAGGGTAGCAGAGTGAATAGAGTTAACCTCAAAGCCAGAAAGACTTGGGTTCAAGTCTTGCTTCTGACACATACTGGATTTGTGACACTGGGCAAGTCATTTAAACACTCAGTGCTCTAGGCAATTCTATGAAAAGGAAGAAAAGAGTGGGCTAAGAGGAACTGGAGAAATTATGTAGTACCATTAATGAAGCTAAATTTCCCCCTGAAACAAAGGCCCATTTTTTAAAACAAAAACATTCTTCTGATGATCCTGCATGATTTTAAGTCATGGACTATCACAATTTCCAAAGAGCTAAAGTTGACCATCCTCCCACAAAGCAATGAAGATGGACGTGGTCAGCATGATCAGCTAGCTATTCAGCTATAAGACATTATAAATGAAGATTTGTGCAAGAAAAGTAGCAGAAAGGATGACACCTAGAAATGAATAATTGGAAAAGAAATGTACGTAGCGAAAATGAGTAACTGGTCAGTCTACATACTCTACTGGTATGCATACAATATTAAGAGAGCTAGAAGAAGGGTTTCAGCATGTTGGGAGAAGCTCCTATAGCAAATGTACAGGAGACATGGCCATGAGTCATAAAGAATCAAAAAGCATGGCTGAGTTGCCACTGGAGAGAGTATTGACACATACTGATGAGATCACAGAGCCACTGAATTATCAAAGTACAAACAAATACAAAACATTCACATGACAAATCAACATATCATCAGAAGAGCATTTTTAACGAAGTAAGAACTTCAGAAATTATTCATAGTTTGTTAAAGTAATTTCACTGAGCTAAACTTATCTTTTTGACAGTGGAAGTAGTTATGTATTTATTCAGCAGTTGGTATAAATTACATACCTGTGCTTTGTTCCTCTTTCCACATATCCATAAACTTCCTGAAGGTAACAGCCAGTGATTCTACCAAGCCTCCAAAAGGAGGATCTGTCACCAGAATGAGTTCTACACCTTTATCTTCTTTTAAGAATTTTCTACAAATTTCAAGAGCAGCCTACAAAAGATACAGGTTCATTTTAAAAATCCATACTGCAAATGAATATTTACTCTTACTTGGACAAGAATGTGCCTAGAATAAGTTTCAGTTACCTTGTCATCAAAGTAAACACCCATATTGCCATCTCAGCATGCTTCACTACTATCCTTGAGGGAAAAAAAAATTTTCTTACTTAGTGTCCATATGGTACTATCTTTGACTTCTCTTGGCAAACAAGTGTTTTGTTTTGTATTTTTAAATTCCAATAGTTGAATACTCTAGTATCATAACTGCTAGAGTGCAAAACACTTCAAGTAATAACATTCAAAAATTAAATTTATTACCCATACAGAATACCAAAAACATTATCATTTCCTTACTAGCTCACCTACTACCATAATTTCAGTTTAATATCTACAACTAGCATCTCTATTTTGCCAAACACAGGATCATACCCTACTCCTTCTAAAGTTTTTTCTTTTATTATATTTAGAACATTTCAATGTCATATACATCATAATCATCATACCACATACACAAAATACATAATCTACAAAATTTCCCCATCCATTAAATTGTCCCAGAAACATAGTTACATAATTTTCTGAACATGTTGCCCAGAAGCCCTCTTACTGGCATAATCTCTATGATATATGTGTGTGTGTGTGTGTGTGTGTGTGTGTGTGTGTGTGTGTAAGTTGTTTTGGGAAACAAATAAAACTAACATTTCTAAGCTACTGACTTTACAGCACATTTCAAGAAGCTTTCTGTGAAGGTAAAGTTATACTTTAAGACAAAATAACAGGTTTTAGAATTTAATATATTTGTATATTTTCTCTATAATAATAGATGCACTGTTCTACATTTGATTCACTTTAGAAGAAATATTTGACAGACTTTTAAAAATTTCAATATCTATATTCTTTTCCCCCTAGAAGAATTTTTATAGGCTTCCAAATGGAACTCCTATAGAACAAAATGGTTAGTTTATTCATTCATTCATCAAAAAGGTTAATTACCATTCAGTTCAGCTAACTCATTTCTTCTGCTTGTCCTCCTATATAAAGGAGTAGGGACAAATAATGATGCTGAAATCCTTTCAAATTCCATATTCAATTTGATAAACATTTTTAAGCACCTACTGTGTGCAAAGCACTATAATAAGCACTGATGATATAAAGACAAAAATGAAAGGGTCCATGTTCTACTCAGGAGATAGCATGTGCACAAAAATAAATAAATATGAGAATTGGAGGAGATAAAAGAGCACTGATCAGTTGTTAATGAGATGTCAGGAAAGAGCCCTCGAGTAGAAAGTAGCACTGGAGCTCATTCTTCAAGGAATCTATAGATTTTAAGAGTCTGTGGTGACAACAGTTCATTCAAGAACAAAAGACAGATTGTGCAAAGACACAGAGAGAGAAGAGAGAATATTGAGCTTGGGGAACAGCCAGTTGGCCAATCTGGTTCAAATATATAGGGCATGAAGGAAGATAATATGAAGCAAATCCAGAAGGTAGATAAAAGCCAGAGAGTGAAGAGACTGAAATGCCACACTGAAAAATCTGTTCAGATGAAATAGAGAAACAATGAAGATATTGTAAGCAGGTGAGTGACACTGTCAGATCTGTGCTTTAGGAATATTCATTTACCACCTTCATGGAAGACAGACTGGAGAGAGGAAAGACTAGAATCAGAGAGACAAATTAGAAGGCTATCACAATAGTTTACGTGGGAGTTGATAAGGACCTAAACTTGTGTGATGGCTCCATAAGTAGAGGAATGGCCCAGATGCAAGAGATGATGTAATGCCAAAACTGATAAGAACTGGTAGATAACTCATAAGGTAGGGTAAGAAGAGTAAAGGGTTAAGGAAAGCTCAGCGGTTACAAAAGTGAGTTAGTGGAAAGATGGTAGTTCCTTCAACACATATAGGAAAATTTGGGAGTGAAGTAAGTTCACAAGGAAAATACTGAAATCTGCTTCGGATGTGTTGATGCGAAACTGGGTCAACAGGTGACGTCCTGGAGGAAGCTGAGATGTAGAACTGGAATTCAGAAAAGCAACCTGGTGTATATATATAAATCTGGGAGTCATCCTGAACCCTGAACCCTGAACATAGGTTAAGAAAGTATAAGAGAAGAGGTCCAGGACAGAGCCTTGAGTGACATCTATACTTTGGGAAGAGGAGCTGAATAATGATCCATCAAATGAGACTGATGAAAATCAAGTGAGAAAGACACACAAAAGACAAGAAAGAGAAAATACCCTGGAGAAAGGGTGACTGCTGATGTTAAAAACTACATAGAAGTCAAGTAGGATGAGGACTGAGAGAAAGCCATTGGATTTAGCAGCTTGTCTCACCTCGGAAAAAGCGGTTTCAGTAAAGTGGTAGGGTCAGGAAACCGTTCACAAAAGGTTGAGAAGTAAGTAGGAACTGAGGAAGTAGAGGCAGCAAATACAGATAACTTTTTCTAGGAGTTGGGCTATAAAAGGGAAGATTTGGATGATGAAATGAGAGGGTTGTATTTTAGGAGATTTGGACATATTTGTACTCAGCAAGGAAAAAAATCAGTAGTTAAGATAAATTAAATAAGAGAGAGGGATCAAATGTTCAAATGGAAAGGGCCCAGAAGGGATGGAAAGGGATGGGGTTAATAACACAAGTATAATCCTGTCAAGGTAAAGGATAACTTCTTGCTCAGAGACTGGAATAAAGAAGTAAAGTGTGAGGGATGGTATAGAGGGATTTTTAGCAGTGGTATAAGAGAAAAGAGAGCCATGGCAGATGACCCTGATTTTCTCTTAGGAAATTAGGAAATGAGGTCCTCTGCTAAGAGGAAAGAGGACGGTAATAATGTAGGTGGCTTGAGGAAGAGAGGGGAAGATTTGGAATAGCTGCTGAAAGGAGTGTGAGAGAAAGTCAATCAGGGAAAAACAAAAGGATTACTGAATAGCAGAGTGCTCGGCAAAGATGAGAAATCATAACTTTGCAGTAAACCCAGTTGGTACATTTATGAGACATTCTTGAGTAGTTTTTAGCAATGCTTAAGTAGAAGCACAAAAAATCAATGGTAGCAGAGAATACAGTGTTGGGATTTAGAAACATGTGAACATCAAGTCAAAGAGGATGTCAAAGACATAGTCTGGAAGTAGCAGGAAGGAGTAGGAAATATGGCTTCTCCTCCTCTTGGCCTAGTGTCACCTAGTCTCCAGTCATCATCCTCATCCTCCCATCCCTTCAGAACCTTGCCCTTAAGATTTTGGACTCCAATAAGGGACTCAGACCCAATCACTCCTACTGCTCCCCTTTATGTGTTGTCTTCCCACATTAAGCACCTTGACAGCAGGGGCTGTCTTGCTTGTCTTTGTACCATTTGCACTTAGCACAGTGCCTAGCACAAAGCAAGTGTTTAATAAATGTTCTAGCTACATAATATAGTGTGTTGGAAGTCATTAGAGAAGGAAGATCCACTACTGGAGTGTCAGAGTGCAATGGCTTCCAAAGAAATGGTGAAAAGTAAATGACACTTAATCAGGAAAATAATTTTTAAAGTTGTTTTTAAAAAAATTCAACATTTTATTTTTTCCCAATTAAATGTAAAAACAATTTTTTACCTTCATTTTTTAGTTTTGAATTCCAAATTTGCTCCCCCCCCACCATTGAGAAGGCAAGCAATTTGATAAAGGTTATACATGTACAGTCATGCAAAACATATTTCCATATTAGTCATGTTGTGAAAGAAAAAATAATTATTTTTTTTAACAGGCTCAAGGTCAATTGGAATACAGTTGTTGAGCATCTGTAGAAAACAAGTGCTCATAAACAAAAGTTGCTCTCTATCACTGCTGACAGGCCCTCTGGATTCTTTCCTTCATCCTTGGCTATTGTTTTTTAGTACTGTTTAAACAGCCACAATCATCACCAGCTGGTGATGATTTTCTATGCTTTACTCCTTTCAGTGGCAATAGCACATTTATTATCTAAAGGCAGCTCCTAGAATAGCAAGGCCTAATGACATTTCTTTCTTCTAGTGAAGAAGAAATGAAATCTGTCAGTCTCAGAAGTCCACCTAAATAACTACATCTGTAATAAAAAATTAGAGATTAAAAAACTTCCTAGCAAAAAATGATTAAATTATCACATTCCCCTTTCCTTGCTAGCCTATCTTTGGGTGTTCAAACTTAATTTTATTTGTATTTTGTCTCTAATGTTCAAAATTAAAAGGCATACAGTATAACGGATATTGGAAACGTGTGTCTACTAAACTTCTTTACTATTTTTAATAATACTATTATTTACCTTTACTCTATGAAACCAATTGAGACAAAGGTACATATAAAAGGATGAGTGCACAGTACTGTCCAGAGAGGACCAAAGGGCATTATTATGATAAGTGCTGAGTATACAAAAAAAAAAAGTGAGGCAGTCCCTGCTCTCAAAGAGAGGGGAGAAAACATATTTAAGATAAAGAAAGGCAGAATATATAGAAACAAAAACAAAAACAAAGTGGGGGGAAGAATAATAAAGAGGGTAATTAGGAAGATTCTTGAAGGAGGTGACCCTACAACTGAATCTTGAAGAAAGCTCGGGGTTCCAAGAGGCAGAAATGAGAAGGAAGAGCATTCAAGCATGGGAGGACAGGCTCTGCAAACGTCTGAAGGCAAAAGGAAGTGAAATCTTGCATACAGGGAACAGGTAGGAGGATATTGTAGAGTATGTGAGGAGGAGAAGTATGTAATCACTGTAGGAAGGTAGTCTGGAGCCAGGTTATGAAGGGCTTTAGATGCCAAACAGAAGAGTTTGTGTAAAGGCAATGGGAAACCATCGAAGCTTCTTGGGCAGAGAAGTAATATGGTCAGATCTGTGCTTTGTTAACCAGATTATCTATTTAGCATCCAGGTGTAGAGTGGATTGGAGAGATCAGAGGCTGGAGGCAGGGAGACCAAGTAGAAAGCTACTGCAAGAGAACAGGTGAAGCGTTATAAACTAGGATGGTTCTGGTATGAGTGGAGCAAGGAGAAGGATTCGGGCATATTTAGAAGGTTAGAATAGAAAGAACATGAAGGTGAGTCAGAGTGCAGAGCTGAAGACAGCTCCTCAGTGGTAAACCTGGGCAAATGGATGAATAATGGTGCTTCCAATGAAAACGGTTAAGTTAGGAGTAATGTGGGTTTAGGGACAAAAATCACAAGTTTTGGTCTGGACATAACAAATTTGAGATGCTTATGAGATAGCCAGTTGGAAATACCAGGGCAGAGAGGAATAGACAACAAAAAGCACATAATATAGCCTTACTGTGGAGAAATGGGCATGCCTTAATCTGTGGTGTTTCACATATACCCACACATATTAGTATACCCGGGTGTCTCAGTATAGCATAAAAGAACACATACATTGATACACAGACACACATATGTATGTATATATGTATATATAAACACACAAAAAAATCTATATGTGCATGTGTCAGACACACATAGCATACATACATATACAGGTTTCGTGTTTGTCTCTATATACACATATACATGTATGTGTCCTTATATACACACATACATATAAAATAGCAGTTTTAAAAAGAATGAAAGAAGGTTGTAATCCTTTGACCTTTGTTCATAGGTATGTACGAGTGAAGACATAAATGGAGAGGACCCAATAATGAAGAAAAATACTGTTAAGTTACACAAATATCCATACCTCATATATTGTGAGAGAAAGATATGGTATAATTGGAAATAAAGGTTAATGTAAACAGCCCTTATCTAAGGATTTACTCAATTGATTTAAATTCATGCTGAAGGGGTAATGAGGCATTGAAGGAGCATGGTATGGTGAAAACAACATTAGTTGTTCAGTCAAATGATGTGAGTTTGAACCCTAGCTGACAATTCCTACCTGTGTGACCTTGAGCAACACCCTTAATTTTTCCTGGGTCTTAGTTCACGTTTCGTAGGTCTTAGAAGTACATTCACTTTGGAGAGGAAGAATTGTAGTACAGTGGAAAGAGCATGAGTTCTAGAGTCAGAGGACCTGGATTCAAATCCTGCCTCTGACACTTAATATCTTTGTGACTTCAAGTAAGCCACTTAATTTCCCTGGGCCTCAGTTTCTTCATCTATAAAATGAGGGGGTTGGACTGTGGTCCCTTCTAGTTCTACATGGGCAAGTCTAATTCAGTCTGAAGTTCACTCCTGTCTGTCCACCTCCCTCCCGCCCTCCCTCCCTATTGTATCACATGCCTGAAGGACCTGACCAAGCCCCTTCTTCTGCTACTGACTTCTACTACTGCTCTACCTCAAACTTATTTATTAATAAGTAAGCAAGGCAGATTTTTTTTTCTGGCATCATGGATGAAATAAAGGATAGATAAGTATTTCCTAAAAGGAGATCTGAGGTAAAATAATGAATTTTAAAATATGACAGAACTTCTAGAAATAAAAGGCTTTTTATAGTCCACTTGCCCTAGAAAACCATTAAATCATTAAAGATTTATTCACAGTTTGTTCACCAAATATAGGAATATTAAAACTCAAGGCTACCTGAGCTACCCCTCAAAGCTTAAAACAGGTTACAGAATAAAACAGGTTCTACATTATATCGTAAAGTAATAAAGGCAATGAACTGGTTTCTCCTGAGAGGTGATGTTAATTGAAAATACAGAAAATCAAGATTTTAGGGAAATTAATATAGGACAGCCATAAAAAGTCTGATTGTAGAACAGGACAACATTAAGTCTGAGGTGGGCAGAACCTCGGGAAAAGGTATCTTACAATTTAACATGCTCATTACATAGAGGAGACTGCTGAGGCCCAAAGAAATTAAGGGATTTACATGCAATAAGCCAACAGCACAATTTAGTCAAAAAGTATGGAAGGTAATGGTTAAGAATTATAGTCACCTTTTCCAGTTATTCATAAGGAGATTAAATTTGTGGTTACCTATGGCTTATGCCTATCTGACCCCTATCAACAAGCATTAGAGGTCATGCATAAACAGAGTCTGAGTCTGAGGCTTTAGGAACGTGCACACATATCATGTTTTGATTTAAACATGAAACTGAGTGTTTTTCTACAACAGAGTTTCAAAAGCAAATATAGATATTATTTTTTATAATTCACTACTTTATATCATCTGTTCCCCTCAAATAGCTTTGCCAAATTCTATTATTAAGAGATTTCCAAAAAATACCAATAGAGGCACCAATGCACTCAATTTACTTTTCAATACAATTCAGTTATTCAATTTATAACTATTCAAATTACAATTCAACACAATTTAGTAATCAGGGAGAAATACAAATATATAGCTGTATATCTTTGTGAAAATGCAACCTCTGTAAGGCAAAGATCTAGCTTATCTGTTGCTCATACTACTACTTTTGGGAGGAAAAAACCCACACATCTGTAGTTTTTTAAAAAGGTAAATGTTGGTATAAGTGGTTACATGAAGTGGCTTTAAAAATCTCACCATGGGGTGGCAAACACATTCATTCACAGTTTGTCTCTTTTTTTTTTCCATTTTCAACTGAGAGGGGGAAAAAAACCCTTTAATTTTTTTATTCTGAAAACGGTGTGAATCTCATTTTGCAGTGCCAAAAGCACACTTTTTAAGGAAAATTTTTTGCTTTATTTTGTCTTCCTACAACTCTAGGCATAATTAGTTAGCCAGTAATGTTAACCAAAACATCCCATTCTCTCAGGACTTGGGTTTTAAAAAGTTTTACTTTATCAAATTACCAAACCCCATGCTGGATTTACAAGTAAAAAATAACCATGGTTCTTACCTTTCCGTCAAAGAAATAATGATTAAACATGTTGTAATGGCAGAAGCTCTCTTCTGTATAAAACTGTGAATACCTATAAAATAATTTTTGTTAGGTTATTTGAATAATGACAAATATTTTAGAGCAAATGTTTTCAAACAATTTAAAGGATTTGTGATTTTTAGTATCAAAATACATTTGGTTTTTGGCTGGATTTGATTATTCTCAACCATTTTTTCATCTGAGGAAATCAAAGTGTTTTCCAAACATCAAACTAATTTTCACAATAACTAGAGATGGAAAATGTTGTGTCATTATATCATTCTGTTCACTGTTATATACATATAGAAAAAAAAATTTTCCGAAGTGTAAGAAGTCAGTGGCAAAGCTAAAGAATAACAGAGCATGAAAATATTCCTTCTACCTAGTAAATAGATGGAATATAAAAAATTATCTGAGCCCATTACACAAATTAAAGTCAAGGTGTGACAGTGAATAAAAATGGAATTTTTTTTTTACATCATACATATTTAGGAACTTTAGAAAACACTGCACCACTACATTTGATTAGCATCAGTTAGTCACATTCATTTCTGATTAAGTATGAAAAAATATTCAACACCAACATTTTTATTTTCCAATATTAATCAGCTCAGCCTTATATTTAATGGCTATCAATACATTAAAAAGTTGGTACATACTATATTCAATGCAATCAGTACCTAGAAAGAGTAATGTATTTTCTAACTAGATTATTTTACTTTCTAACAGTTAATCCTCTTATTTATTTGAAAGCATAATTAGTAGACCTTTTTAGAAAAGAACAACTGTTTAATGTTCCTTTGATTATTGTTAAATAAGCAATAAAACAGTGAGATATACCCTCACCAAAGGTATCAGGTAGGATATCTTGGACAAGGTCCCAAAAAAGAGGAATTTCCAACAGAATAGCGAGGTTACAAGATACTGTGCTGAGTGTAACGCATTACTGGGCCTCCTTAAAAGAAATCAGCCTAACAAGCCATATAGGAAAAATTAAAAAGTATAAAATATGATTATCACCCAGATACAATATATAGTTAGATGGCTAGTTCACTAAATTAGTCCATTAATAAAAATATATCTGGGCACTGTACAAGGGCAAAATTAAAAAGGAGCTGGAGAATGGGCTAGATTGAATTTGGGAAGCTGAGCAAGGTCTGAACACAAAGACTCATTTTTTTTAACATAAACATTCTCCCACAAGTGACAATGATCCTGTTGTGGCTGTAGATCATGGAATGCTGCAATCTTCAAAGAATCAATTAGCAGAAGACTCAAAGAATAACAGAAAAATGGATGGTGAACATAAGCAACTTGTTTCAAGGTATAACCTACACTCAAGAAGTGGCATATGAAATATAATCTAGGAAATGGATTATTAAAAAAAAGTGGACTGGACACAAGGCAAAAGCAAGTGACAACATCTCGTAAAAGCAGGGCATGTTCATTTTCTGATGGGTGTTCCAGTGGGACCTATGAAATGTAAAAAGACTTAGACCACGTTGGGTGGACACTTGGTTACCTATATATGGAGAAACATGAACGAGAACCAAAAAGGATAAGAAGATATAAAAAAAATTACAATATGCATTAATAGAGGGACTAACCATACCGATGAAATCAATTTAATCAGATGTATTAAAGTTTTGAAGGATACCTCATTTATTCAGTAACCTTAAGCTGAATGTGTTGACTGTTTCCCCTGGAAAACAATCAAGAAATTACTGATGGAATACTTCTGGTATTTACTTCCATTGAATGTTTTGCAAAATTTGAAAAAACCTATTATTTCAAGTCTTTCGCCCTTCTAATCTATCACTGACATGGCTGCTAAAGAGATTTTTCTTTTTCTTTTTTTTCCCCACATTATTTTGAATATTTTATTTTTTCCCAATTACATGTAAAAATAATTTTTAAAATTCGTTTAAAAAAATTTTTGAGTTCCAAATTCTCTCCCTCTCTCCTTCTCTGAAATGGCAAGCAATTTGATATAGGTTATATATGTGTAGTCATGCAAAACACATTCCCTTATTAGTCATGTTGTGAAAGAAAACACAGACCAAAAAAAAAGAAAAGAAAAAAGTAAAAAATCATATTCCTAAATCTGCATTCAGACTCCATCAGTTCTTTCTCTGGATGTGGGTAGCATTTTTTATCATGAGTCTTTCAGAATTGTCTTGGATTTTTGTATTGCTAAGAATAGTTAATTCATTCACAAATGATCACTGTATAATACTGCTGTCAATGTACAAACTCTTCTCCTGGTTCTGCTCACTTCACTTGTCATCAGTTCATGTAAGTCTTTCCATTTTATTTTCTGAAAACACCCTGCTCATCATTTCTTACAGCACAATAGTATTCCATCACAATCATATACTACAACTTGTTCAGCCATTCCTTAATTGATGGGCATACCCTCAATTTCCAATTCTTTGTAACCACAAAAAGCTGCTATAAATACTTTTGTACAGGTAGCTCCTTCCCACCCCCACCTCGCCTTTTTAAAAATCTCTTTGGGATACAGATCTAGTAGTGGTATTGCTGGGTCAAAGGGTATGCACAGTTTTATAACCCTTTGAGCAAACTGCTCTCCAGAATGGTTGGATCAGTTCACAACTCCACCAACAGTGCATTAGTGTCCCAATTTTCCCTCATCCCCTTCAACATTTGTCATTTTCCTTTTCTGTCATATTAACCAATCTGATAGGTGTGAGGTGGTATCTCAGAAATGTTTCAATTTGCATTTCTCTAACCAAAAGTAATTTGGAGCATTTTTTTCATATGGCTATAGATAGCTTTGATTTCTTCATCTGAAAACTGCCTGTTCCTATCACTTAACTGCTTATCAATTGGGAAAGAACTTGTAGTCTTAAAAATTTGGCTCTGTTCACTGTGTGAGAAACTGTGTGAGCCTTTATTGAGAAACTTGCTGTAATTCTCACCCCCCACCCCCACCCGCAGTTTTCTGCTTTCTTCCTAATTGTGGCTGCATTGGTTTTGTCTGTGCAAAATCTTTTTAATTTAATGTAATCCAAATTATTCATTTTACATTCTGTAATGCTCTCTATCCTAAAGAGATTTTTTTCTTTAGAGCAAAGCTAAACATGTTACTCCCCTCATTCAACTGACCCCAGTGACTCCCTATTTGATTCTAGACTCTTCTGACATTTAAAGCTCTTCACAACTTGGCCCCAACCTACCTTTCCAGATTCATAAGTCAATCCCCTTCCTTTTGTTTCTCATACAGCACTATTCCTGGCACATAACAGGCAAGAAGCATAATAAATGCTTCTTGACTTGACTATACAATCCAGCCAAACTGCCCTTCTATCTGTTCCTTGCATTCAGTACTCAATATCTCCTATTTCCAAGCTTTTGCACACTGGTGATCCTGAATGCCTGGAATGCCCTCCTTCCTCATTTTTACCTTGAGAAACCTCATAAGGAATTCCTTATGGAATCCTCTGGCACCATCTTCTACATGATCTATTTCCTGATTCCTCAACTTGCTAGTGTCCTCACTAACTACTCTGTATTTATTTTGTATTTATTCTGTCTATACTTACATATGTTGTCTCCCAGATAGAATATCTGTTCCTTGAGAGCAGATATTGTTTCATTTTTAAACCCTTATTCCCATCTATTCCCAACATATAGCACAATGCTTGGCACACGGTAAAGGCTCAACAAATACTTGCTGACTGATTGATTTTTGTTTATCAAATTAATTCCTGTAGCAACTACTTCACATGAACGTTACAATTTTAATGACAATTTTGTTAAGCTCACAGAAGTCCTACTACAAGGCCTCCCAGTGGTGTGAGGATGACCTTGGGTTCTCAAAATTTATGCCACTAAAGCACAAACTCAAACAAGTTCTCCCAAGCTGGAAATGCTTCAAGTATAGTCCAAAAGGCAGCCTGTGTCTGATTTACAAGACTATCCAAATTAAGAATAGAGAAACTCATCACTGCTGGGTTAAGCCATTATATGATCAATGTCCTTCAAGCTTATTTAAGAGCTCCACCTCTCCCCTATTAACTTCCACTTCCAGCAATGGGTGGTAGAAAAGCAACACAGGCAGGGGGAGGGAGTCCAAAGAATTACACATTGTTTATAAATATTCATTGAACTCTTGGTACTTGAAATGTGATACCTTTGTTCAACAACCAAAGAGGTGACATACTGCTACAGGAACTGAACCACTTCAGTACTGACATTCTCTCTATGAATAAAGCCAGAAGACATAAAGAAGCTACATCTACATGAAATATACAGCTGACAGATTCTCCTCGAAGAGGCAAACAGAAGAATTGCCTCATCATGCATCAAAAGGCATCATTTCATGAGATACTTGACCATCTCACCACACAGTATATATACATAATGGGCATAATTCAAAAGCCCTCTGTGAAGATAACTGCAGCTTATGTGCCATCATCTATTGCAAAGGATGAAGGAATTCTGTAAAGAACGTGACAAGAACTTCCAAACCAAGTCACCAAACACTGTGATACTTGATCACATTGACGTGAATGAAGGTGGGCACGGAGAAGACAGCAAAAAAAAATGTTCAGAATTAAGAAACAAAGGCCAAAGGCTTGCACTTGGGAGCCTCACAGTCGTATATCATGAACACTTCCCTAAAGAAGAGGAATAAGATGCCTCACGAAAAAAGCATCAAACACTTTTAAAAAATGGAAACTCAATAATTCAACAGACAGGAAACAACTGGTTACAAAGTAAGGACTCATTTCTGAATCATCTCTATGTGTGCAGTCAGATCACAGACTACCTACTGATAAGGGCAAAATCAATATCAAATTGGGACCAAGATGATATGAAGATACCACATACGATTATAATAGCTTCAATCAGACCTATTCAAATAAGCTATTGACTCAAAAATAGTAAATAGCTGAAGAAAACTATGTCAATTGATTATCATTTATTATAGATATTTAGCCAATATAAAATAGTCACTATTATCACAAGAGGCCCAGGAACTTAGTCAACAAATGTTTAAATCATCTTGCCAAAGAGAGACACCAT